TCTGAAAACTGAGCGATACCTCTGAGCCTTGTCTAGAAAAAGGCTTTAAGATAGGAAATACTGTTTTTGAACAAGGGAAGCATAAGGCTTAACATTTGGAGTAAGGGAGTGTGTCAATCAGTGCAACATAATGTGTGCATGTGTGGGCTTTTGTGGTATCCATGTGTTCTTTTTCCACCCCAGAGGTCAGGGGGCATCCCCAGCCGCCATGCAGAAGGCCCAGCAGGTTTCCCAAGGGCTTGATGTGCTAACTGGCAAGGTGCAGAACGCTGCTCGCAAACTGGAAGCCATGACTAACTCCAAGCAGGCGATCGCCAAAAGGATTGACGCTGCACAAGTGAGTCATTAACCCTTGTATAAAAAGAGTCGGTCTTACAAAAACATGGATTCAAACCAAACGTTTTTGTTGGGAGTTTTGAGGGTTTATATTTTATTTTCAGAATTGGCTTGCAGACCCTAATGGCAGCCCCGAGGGAGAGGAGAACATCAAGGCTCTGCTCATCGAGGCCAAAAAGATTGCAGACATGTGTGAGGATCCTAAAGAAAGAGATGACATTTTGCGCTCTATCGGAGAGATCGCTTCCATGACTGCCAAGCTGTCTGATCTCAGAAGACAGTAAGTTACTGGCTCTCTTAAATATGAAAACTGATTCATGCTGAGTTTGTCCGTCTGAGTTCAAGCCTGAGTTTCATCATCGCTGGTCTCGCTATCACTTCTACTCTGCTTTCACACGTTAGTACACTTTTCTAATGCTTAAATTCAATACTTGGATCAGTTCAGTTCACTTTCATCATCTAACTGAGCTAGTGTTCGTTTTCATGATCAAATAGTGAGAAATCTGTGCAGTATCGTGTTTCACGTTGGGCTTGATAGTTTTTCTTTGTCCATAAATGAGGGATGTATTTTGTATTCCAGTATTTCCCAACATTAGACGAAACACCTCTGACTTTGGTCTAAACAAGCACTTAGTCAACTTATTTGCTGCCTGTTGACAAGACCCCATTTCAGTAATATCTTTCTGATAAAACAGCACCTCAGACATTTTGACTCCTTTTCATTTCCTTGTAGGGGTAAAGGTGACACTCCTGAAGCCAGAGCTTTGGCTAAACAGATCGCAACAGCTCTGCAGAACCTGCAATCCAAGACCAACAAAGCTGTGGCCAACAGCAGGCCGGCGAAGGCAGCTGTTCATCTGGAGGGGAAGATCGAGCAGGCGCAGCGCTGGATAGACAATCCCACAGTGGATGATAGCGGCGTGGGTGAGTCCGACTTCCCAGCGCCACCAACCTCCTCACCTCTCTCTTACTTTCTCTTGCACTCCTCAACATTCTTTCCACTGCTCCAGTGGCTACATTGCAGCCTATACACTTACATGTCTGCTGAGAACCTGGACATCATCTTTACTACAACAGAGACTGAGGTTGGCTGTTCTCAGAGGAACTGATTCCCACAATTGAGGGAACAACATGAAATAATACAGGACACACACCGCATCATCACTATAACCACTGATTATTAGTTGCAACTATACATTTAGCAAAACTGCTTTGAAATTATATCAAATAGAGGTTTTTATTCCACATAAATTCGGAAGCAGCAGATGACTTGACACTTTAGTCCACAGGTTTTTCCATGTTGATTGACCCAGAGATTTTAACATAATGGGAAAATGTATTTGTCTGCATGTGTCTCCAGGCCAGGCAGCGATTCGCGGCCTGGTGGCAGAGGGCCGCAGGCTGGCCAACGCTCTGCCGGGGCCGTACAGGCAAGAGCTGCTGGGTAAATGTGAGCAAGTGGAGCAGCTCATGGCGCAGCTCGCCGACCTGGCCGCCCGCGGTGAAGGGGACTCCCCACAAGCGAGGGCTGTGGCTCAGCAGCTGCAGGAGGCCTTGAAAGTAAGACTTCACACACTTATTCCCTTTCAGACCTGAAGCTTCACTGGGACACTGTAAATCAGGATTCATGCATGCAAATAGACAAACAACTCCCTCTGCTGGTTACCAGGGGTGAAAAACATACACAACTCAAAAAGAAAATCGAAATCGAAAATCTTAAAAGTAAAAGTGATCAAATATTAGCAGTAAGTGTTCAAGAGTCAAAGATAAAAGTACCCTGAGAGTAAAACATATAAGGTAAAACAACAAAATCCAGATTATTGATCAAACAAATGATAAAGTTTTTCATGTTCCTTTTGAGTCTGTATTTTGTGGAAGCCATATCTCGAGTTTCTTTCGTCCAAGCTGAATAAAAACATCTGCAAGTGAGGCACCAACAGCAACTATCAGATTAAATGTAATGGAGTACAAGGTGTTGTATTCAACTTAAACTAAAAGTATTCAATCCTAAATACAAATGTTATGGTAGTGAAGCTGAATAGGAACACAACATTTGTATTAGTAATCTCACTGATTACTTATCTGTTCGTCCCCCTCCCAGGACCTGAAAGGAAAGATGCAAGAAGCGATGACTCAGGAGGTGTCTGACATCTTCAGTGACACCACCACCCCCATCAAGTTACTGGCGGTGGCGGCTACGGCTCCGCTGGACTCCCCCAACAGAGATGAGGTCAGTGGTACAGCCACTTCGCTCCTCCATGTCATTTCACTGCACTCAGCCTCTGTCAGTGGTTGTTATATTTATTGGCAGGCTGTTGTGTTATTTCTAACTGCCCTGTTGTATAATTGTTTAATTTGATCATGTGTAGGTCTTTGACGAACGGGCTGCCAACTTCGAGAACCACGCCAATAAGCTTGGCACCACTGCAGAGAAGGCCGCTGCAGTCGGCACGGCCAACAAGAGCACAGTGGAGGGAATCCAGGCCGCTGTCAAATCAACGAGAGACTTAACACCACAAGTATGTCACAGTTTAGTGTTTAGACTGTATCTGTTTCTATTTGTCTGCTCTCCACTCACGGAGCTGTAAATGTTTCCTGCTTCTGAGCCAAGTCTTAAACACTTTGCACCATCAATTAACGGGTGGGAAATGTTTTCTAGGTGGTATCAGCCGCTCGTATCCTGCTGAGAAACCCTGGCAACCAAGCTGCGTATGAACATTTTGAAACCATGAAGAATCAGTGGATTGACAATGTGGAAAAAATGACAGGTGAGGCACCATAAAGACATTTTTAAATCCCCTGATCACAGACGATCTCGATCCGTATTAACACGTTATTGATGTTTAGGTTTGGTGGACGAGGCCATCGACACCAAATCTCTCCTGGATGCCTCAGAGGAGGCCATCAAGAAGGACCTGGATAAGTGCCGTGTGGCAATGGCCAACCACCAACCTCAGATGCTGGTCGCCGGGGCCACCAGCATCGCCCGCAGAGCCAACCGCATCCTCCTGGTGGCGAAGCGAGAGGTCGAGAACTCTGAAGATCCTAAATTCAGGGAGATGGTGAAGGCTGCGTCCGATGAACTGAGCCAGACGATTTCTCCGATGGTGATGGACGCGAAGGCAGTGGCTGGAAATATCCAGGATCCAAGTAAACAGATGCTAGTCACAGATTTTAAGATTATTTAGGTATTTTGAACATATTGATTAGTGATGTGTTTGTTTTGATCACCAGGTCTTCAGAAGGGCTTCCTGGATTCAGGTTACAAGATTCTTGGTGCTGTAGCGAAGGTCAGGGAGGCCTTCCAGCCGCAAGAGCCAGACTTCCCACCTCCTCCTCCAGAACTGGATCAACTTAGTGTAAGTCCTCAGGTTTTTTTGGGGGCATTTTGCTTTTGTTTTTTGTTCCTTTGGAGACAAGGAAGAAACAGCTAGAATCAATCAAGTGTTTGACTTTAATGTCCAAAAGGATTTCACCAGAATTACTTTGATTTGTCCTTGCAGCTCAATGATGAAGCAGCACCACCCAAGCCTCCTCTTCCAGAGGGTGAGGTTCCTCCCCCCAGGCCTCCTCCTCCTGAGGAGAAAGACGAGGAGTTCCCTGAGCAAAAGGCTGGCGACATGGTTAACGAGCCGATGATGGTGGCTGCCAGGCAGCTCCACGATGAAGCGCGCAAATGGTCCAGCAAAGTGAGTCAACGCACCAACACTCTTTTACTTGGACGCCTTGTGCTACCGTATTAACTGTGTTCCTGTTGTACCTCATAGGGAAATGACATCATCGGTGCTGCCAAACGAATGGCCTTGCTCATGGCAGAGATGTCCCGTCTGGTGCGCGGAGGCAGCGGCAACAAGCGCGCCCTCATCCAGTGCGCCAAGGACATCGCTAAGGCTTCTGATGAGGTCACACGGCTGGCGAAGGAGGTGGCCAAGCAGTGCACTGACAAGCGAATCCGGACCAACCTGCTCCAGGTCAGTTCGTGTGTCTCTGTCAGAGAGAGGAACAATAGCGTTCGTGTCTTTTCACTGTGGAAAGACGATACTTTATTGTTTTGGAATCACACTTCGTTCCTTTTGCTGACGTTCTGACCTATTTCCAGGTGTGCGAACGCATTCCCACCATCAGCACTCAGCTCAAAATCCTATCCACAGTCAAGGCCACCATGCTGGGTCGTACCAACATCAGCGAAGAGGAGTCAGAGCAGGTAAGCATTTTAATTTTCTTAATTTTTTAATGAATATAGCAGGTTCCTGTAGAAATTCTCATCACTCAATCTCTCATTCCCTTTTCCACCAGGCCACTGAGATGTTGGTCCACAACGCTCAGAACCTGATGCAGTCTGTGAAGGAAACCGTCAGGGAGGCCGAGGCAGCTTCCATTAAGATCCGGACAGATGCCGGTTTCACCCTTCACTGGATCAGGAAGACCCCCTGGTACCAGTAAGGAGAAGGACCCCCTGTTTCGCTGCCTCACACTGGATACGGTCCAGCTGTCTCAAGAGGATCCTGAATGGACAGATACATACTTTATCAGAGCGATGATATCAGTGCCCCTCACTCTAATGTGGGTTTATCTATTTGTCCTATGTCCTGTCTGTAACAGTTGCTGTTCTAGTAGAATGTAAACATTGGGACTATCAATACGAATTATGGGTTAGATTCTCACTGGGAACGTCTTTTTTTTTTTTCTAAAGTGTGTACAAGATGTGTTTTAAAGCTTATTTTGACAAATCCCAGGAATATATATATTTTGATTAGAGGTTGGATTTCATATAATGTGAGGTTTTTGGTGTCTTCCAGACACGAGCCACAGTTAAGTTAAATTTAAAGAGTTCTTCAAGACGCATTTTTAGATCTTTGTACTGATAATGGTGTTATTATCATTCACTTGCCTTTGCTAGGGAAAAGCACATTATCTTTAGGAGATGTTACAAGTATCGGCCTTCGCTCAGCACACACTAAATATATCCAGCGGTATTATGTCTGTTTACACTATTCTTTATTATTACCACATGAAAGAGAAACACTGTTCCTTTTTTCACATTTTGTAATGCAATAGTAGCCATGTTTATTTTCTTCAGAGTTCTGCCAAAGACAGTCTGCCATGATCTTTGAAGATTTCGTTCTTTGGTCAGCAACTGAGAACAAGGGCTAGTTTCTTACACGAGCTGATTTGAGAACTGACTGTAATTTTTAATTTACGGTTGCATTGAAGTCGTCGTAGGTATGTGTTGTTTCACATGTTGCTTTGAGATTACATGTAATAAATGAACCGGCTTGTGCAGGTGCTTAGTTCACAGTTCCGCCAACGCAAATACGTATCACTTTATCTTCATATCGGAAAAAGTGGACGTTATTTCACAAAGCACAAAACTTCTCGTTAAAACATGCAAAAAAAGATTGTAGCTTACATTGGCTGCAATTACTGGTTTACATTTGGTTTTATTTTATGCTTAGGAAACAGCCAATTAAAGCTCCTTCTTCTTGTGCAGGGTTTATGACCAGATTATAAACACTTGTGGAACATCTCAAGCACTGTGCAGTCTCTGCCCCGGGTGGATACATTACATCAGAAATACCATGATATACATTAAACACACGTAGCCTCATGAGGTGAAGCACTGACTGTGTATAAAGATGGACGACGCATCTCACACGATCCAGAAATGAAGCCAAAATATCCCGGATACCATCGCTGCCATCTTGCTCATTTGGAGCAGAGCAGTGATGGGGGAGGGGTGGAGCAGCAGTTTCAGCTTCACTTTGGGTGTTGTCCATCTTTATTTACAGTATGAGGTGAAGTATGACGTCGTGATACGTAAAAACATGCTTCACGTCGAAACCATCACCATGGACTTTCTATTGTTTCATTTTAACACCGTATGGAAATGTCACATTGTCACAGCTCATCATGGATTCAGTAGAAAAGCTGCGGTTAATCGAGATGCCTTGTTTTTGTGAAATAAGGTTTTGTGATATAACAAAGTGATATGTTGTTATAACAAAAAAAGCTTCTTATAAAATTGGTATTTTGCGATAATGAGAAAATATGTCATTTCTCAAAATCTAAAAATTCTCAATTGAGAAAAGTTTCTTGTTATAACGACAATATTTTGTTTTGTTTTTTTTACATATATTTTGCTCGTGGTTGAGCAATCCACTGCCGTATATGTTTCTGCCCTCTCCACCAACAGACAGAGACAAATGGATTCAATAAAGGATGTAAAACTTAATTCAGTGAGCTGATCTTTCTGCCTGCAACCGGCTCCCACGACAAGAGGAGTGCTGTCAAACCTGTGGTGAGGAAGATGATGGAGGTACTCGCTGTCCCTGAAGACTTCTGCCCGGTCTGGACAGAGCGGCTCTGTGAGGCTGCAGTGAAAGGGAGACGCTGTCATTGAAGTTACATAAACTTAAAACTAATGAATAAAGTAAAGTTTACATGTTTGATCAAACACGGGCCTCGGCAACAAGGGGCGTGGCTGACACCAGCTTCTCCCTGTGTCAATTTAACCTGTGTTTCCTCTTGTCTATTTAAAAGGGTTAAAATATGAAAATAAAAACAAAGTACTAGCTTACATATAATAATATATGATCATTATTATTATTATTATTCAGTGTGGCTGTCAGTGTGGCTGTGGGTGATCAATGGGACAGAATGAAGTTGGTGAACAGTGACACCTACAGTTGAACTTGAACATTACTATAGTGATGGAAGAAATGTTCCTTAAAAAATAAGAAGTTGAATACGTGTAGTCAGATGAACCAGGGGTACATCATATATACAATTAAATTAATTACATTTGATAATTAATACAAACAACACTAGTAGTGACAGAGCAAAAATAGAGTAGTGACAGAGCGAAGATTAAATAAAATTAAAAAAGTTAAAGTACCTTCAACCAAGCTATTTTGCAGGCTCCTACTGTCATTGTATTTCATTCCATTTTTATTATTATAATTTTACACAGTTCTATCTATTATGGATGTAATATGATTGAAACATTGTCATGTGTGTAATTGTGTGTGAAATGTTGATGCAAAATGAATTTCAGTGTAAACTGACAATAAAGTTGTATCATATCATAAACTGTGTTTTCAGATTTCAAACTGTTCTTTGGGTTTAGTCTCTGTGTTGGTTTTTCAATGTCCCTGTACAGAAACTTGAATCTGTGTATGAAAGGTGCTTTATGAATGAAATTATTATTATCATCATCATTATATTATCCTTATTATTATTGAGGTTATTGCTATTATTATTATTTGAGGGGCAGATTAAATATGATTATTCATCTTTCTGCTCTTTTTTATTCAACACTTGAGATTTTGTGTTTGTGTTTAAATTGTGTTGTTGAATGAATTAAATTAAAACATACATACAAAAGAAATATGAGTCAGAATTCTTGAAACTGGTTAAATATTAATGAACTCTGCATTTTTATTTTTCTGTGGTTTAAGGTTTTGAACTTTATCCTGGTGAAGCAGCTCAGAGATAAGATGAGATAATAACTGTGTCTCTGTGAAAGCACATGGCCTCACCCTGGAGGAGCGTAACCGGTTAACTCTGCTGCCTCCCTGGGTTCAATCATTCATTTCTCTCTGGATCACTTTCTCCATCACCACCATTACCACCATCCTCCTCTGTGTGTGGGGAGAACCAGCAGCAGCAGCCTCCTCTTCCTCCTCCTCTTCAGCCTCCTCAAACCCGGGACTGGTGTTTTTTTAAAAATGTCGGAGGAAGAACCAAACACGTCGACAGGGAGGAAAACATTGTTAAGGTAATTCCCGCCTCCGCTGTTAGCGCCGTGTGCTGGCGTGACTGTGTACCGTTAGCCGCTGTGGCTAACCGGGTGATTCCCGTGACGGTCTGCGGGGCTGAGGTGAGCTGTCTGCGGGAGGAGGCGCAGCGCGACGAGGCGCCGAACCACCGGAACATTTGAACGTTACACGAAGTGAAGCTAACGTTAGCACGAAGGCTACAGGGCGCTACGTGTGCGTGCTAACGATGCTAACAACAGTTAGCAGCGGAGAGGAGAGGAAGTGTTCATGATCTCGTGACAGGAGTTCTTCTTGAAAAGAGATAAACTCCAGCGTGTTTGTTTGAATGAGGTTAAAATGGAGGGGTTTGTTTTTTTAAGGGGTTTATGAGCAGATCTGACAGAAACAGGAAGTTAAACCATGAACATGAGCGTGAGAGGCTGGGAAACAGGAAGCAGAGACACATCGAGTTAAATGAATCATGCTGCTCATTTAAAACGCTTTGAACTGTGAACTCCCTGATGTGTTTTCTCTGAAATACGTGATTATTAAAGATATCTAATAATAATTCTGATCATTTCCACAGAGCCGCTGCAAACAGTGCACTGCGGCGTTCACTGACTTCAGGAAAAGTCCCTTTTTATTATGACAAAGTGTAAAACGTGCAGATATTAAAATCGGAAAAACTTGAACCCCCCCTTTTTGTAGGACACACGCGTTCTGAAGCATGACAGCATGTATACGAGCCCACACTTTGATAAACAGATGTACAAGTGTAATATTTGTATAAATAGAATGGAGTGATATCTGGCTGACAAGATAAAAATAGGATCAAATGTGGCTACGAGGAAAATATGTTCCATGAATGCAGGTTGAATTCCTTTAAAGAAAAAAGCAAGGTGCAACAACGTGCTGCATTTATAAAAGCTCTTTTAAATACACGAATATACGAAACGTGTCTCTCCTCAACTTACATGCATATCAGAACTTATTTACCTACATTAAAATGTTAACCCGAATGTGTACAAATGTGTATTCATCACACATTTTACATATAGAGCAGCTGCAAAATCAAGTTAAACACATGATCTGATGCTGTTTGTTTGGTTTGTATAATGAATGTATGTACAACTGCAAAACTTGACAATATTTTCTGTCATGATCAGTTGTGAAATTAAGACCTTAGCATAAATATATATATATATACTCAGGTGTTTGAACTGAATACAGACGTTATTATTTAATCACTTTATTGATAGTATTGGTGTTCTCCTCTTCTCCCATTGGACTAAATATGGGCTTTAATCGTATTACAATATTTTGACATGTGTATCCAATCACGTGCCTGGGGGGCTACTCAGGCCCGCCTGCTCGCTCAGCCAACCAATCAGCTCTGTGTTAAAGTGCAGCTTGAGTTCCTGGAGTGAGAAGCACGTTGCTGTGACAGAGAGGTGGAGAAAGTTGAGTTCATTTCATCATCAGGTCGAGCTGCTGAGTTTTCTGAAGTCATGCCAACTGCAGGGTAAGAGGAGAAAATCCACCTGAGGAGAAATCCCATGTTGTCATTGTTTGATCATGAAGCAGAGTGTGAGTGGGTTCAGTGAAATGACTGGTGGTGTCACACTTTTAGTTTGATGATCTCTGACTCTGTATCCTGTCACATCTCTGTTGTAGAGGATGTAAAACTCCATCTTTTTCAATTAGCTCTTAAGCGTCGCCACATCTTTCTCCTGTGTTTGAGTGAAAGTTGGGGAACCTAGTTTTAGAGAAACATTCTTTATAGTCTGGAGTGGACTTTGACCACTGGGACATCTTTGCTGCTGAAAATTTCCACATGTTATGGTCAATTGGAGAAATGCTTAATTTCTACTTCTAGTTCCGTCTTTGACACGTCATTCAGTCCTCCAGAGAGTTTGCATGGCCCCTGAAGAGCCTGCTAAAAGGGGAAAGAGTAACTCAATCCTTTGCAGTTGTACATTTCTCAGTGCGAGCTGACGAGTCATGTCTTCCAAAGTGATTAAAAATCCATTCATGAGTCTGTTTCAGGCTTGTGTGTGTTTTCAAATGTTTATGCCACTTTACGGTCTGATGTGTTTTTGTATTGACCAGAGAAAGAAGCTCAGTCCAACCCTGAAACATGGGGATCGTCTCTGGTCAGAGTTGATTTAAATTCAGCATATCAGGAGCAGATGATCGTCTGTGTCACAGCGGGTCGTTTGTTTCGGCCAATGTGTGGGAGTTCTCCTAATACAATGTGTTTTTGTCCCCCTGCAGTGAAAACACGCTTTTTGGGATGGGAAACCCCTTGCTGGACATTTCAGCTGTTGTGGACAAAGATTTCCTTGACAAGTAAGTGGAGCAGATTGTTTCCACTGCATCTTCACATTTCTCTCTAACGTTACTGAACCGTTCTCACTTTTTTATTATTTTTCATGTTATCCTTAAAGGTTTGGACTGAAGCCTAACGACCAGATCCTCGCTGAAGACCAGCACAAAGCCTTGTGAGTCAGAGCTTCACTGGGACACCACCACATGCTTCACTTCTGTAACGTGATGTGGGACCAAATAAGGGCTACACCGGTCATTTATACCCACTACTACCATTTTAACACTGCATGCTGTGCTTAAAATAGCCAAGTCATAAATTAGACCTCTGTAACCAGGAGCCTCCGAACTCCACACGCCCACATTTTTCTTTTTGCTGAATTAACTTCAAACTACACTACACCAAGATGTCTCTGGATTTACTCCTGCTTTAAGCTAATTAGTAAATACTTATATATTATCTACATTCTATGGTGCTCACAGCAGGGAATTTATTCTGAGTTTTTGCTAAGCATGCACATTCCCGTTCCAGACCCTCCCTCATTCACACTGCAAGCACATGCCAAACAGTAATACTATAACCTTCCTCGAAAACACGCTAGTGTGTCGCTCAACGCAGTGCTTTGCTCTTTTTAAATGCAGCGGGAGGTAAACTTGGCCTATGAACAGAAAAAAGACTCGCATTAACACAGGGTGGAGCCCTGATTGCTCACCAGCCATTTGACATCCTGTTTCTTCTTGAGTGATTGAGTCACACACATGGTGTCTCTTCTGGGAGTTTTTCTTTTAAATTTACTACAGACATTATAAAAGTAAAATATCTGTAAGTCTGATGATGATGAGAGGGATGAGGGTGGGGTTAAAGTAAGTAAATTGCATATTCCATATATACATGTTTTTATATTGAACGTTTTTGAATTGTTTGAAAATTATGATTGACTTTTCTTTAATAATTACTTAGGTGGTAAAACTCACAATTTTCTGAGGCTAAAAACTGTCAAAGTTTTTAAGTTGCACACTCATAGATATCAGTTCCCTAAATGTGCCTCAAGTTTCCTACTTAAAGATCCATTAATGATTTCCAGGGAAACCTCTCACAGATGTGCACCAACAGTTCCTGGGCTCTTTCTTGGCCCATGTATCATCCTTCCACCAAATTTCAATAAAATCGGTTGTGTAGCTTATGCGTAATTCTGCTGACAAACAAACGGTAATGAAAACGTTAGCCCCTTTGGTGGAGGTGAAAATCCAGGATTCAGCTTTGCACCGGAAATCATTGTTTATTGGTCTGCAGGCTTAACTTTACATCAGGTATCAATAACTTTTGGAAGGATCCTGCTGAGTAACCTGCAAATAATGGGACAGAAAACAAAGCCTATGTGGATCAATCAGGCAGTTGAGTGCTTTTTTATTTTTTATTCAGGCATTTTCTGTCGCCAAATGCTCGAGAACGACAACCTTGTTGCTCCACACTCTCACATCAACCAGCACAACAAGTCTTATCTGTTGAATGTAAGATAACCACATTGTTTTCCACTGGGGGCACCTCTGCAGTGGTGTTAGAAGAGACTGCTGCTGTTTCATTTCCATGAACACACATTTATCAGTCTGCAGATAGAGACAATGACCTTCTGGACACGTTGTGCGTCCCTGGTAATTGCGTTAACATTTACTGTGATATAACGACGGCATTATTTGTATTATACGAAAACATGTCTTCAACAACAGTAAAAAATTATTATTATTTTGAGTACATTACAAAATGTGTATAAAGACACACGTTCTTCAGTTATTGTTTCTAATATTATATTATTGATTCAACTGTGAAATAAAATCTATTATAGCTGTTAAATTCTTTAATATGACTTTCGTTTTTAATGCTTATTAGCAGAACATGTCAGAGTTTTTCAAACGACATTGAATTAAAGGTGAGCTCGTCCAAGAAGCCAGTTATTTGTTATCTGTTTGTAGTTTGATGCAGATGTGGATCCAGATGCAGCTGAATAATTGTCTGTTACTGAAGGTGTGTTTGATGATTTAATGAGAGACCTGAGAGGGAATCATTTCTGCTGTAGTGGCTTATGAATCCATTAGTTCAGAGGAAATAACAGTCAAATTAAAACAGCAGGTAAGTGGATAAACTCTCGAAAGACAAATCAGTGCGTCAGATCGTCTGCACCTTACAACAGGCTTCCTTGTCAGGTCTTGTTACTTGACAAAGGGACACATGCGACCTCGGGCGGCAGCAGCAGCAGCAGCGGCGGCACAAAGCAGCATCATCAGCAGTGTTGTTCTCCTCCAGCACAAAGGCAGCGGTGTTATCTTTAGCCCAACAGACACCGTTCCCTCCACATTCTACACAAGGTCAGGGCAGGATTAACATGGTGCTTAATTCCCCTGCACAATGCATTTCAATGCATACAATGCTGCACACACACAGAGCAGCACTCATCGCCATCACGCCTGTCAGTTCATATCTGAATGTACGTGTGGGATTTTTAACTTAATACAGTATGGATTATGAAGAGCTGTAGATGCTGAGATATGGACCTCTTGACTGTGTGGTCAGTGAAAACACTCCGTGTA